GTACAGATGATAGCTGTCCATAAGATAACAGAACTGTTAACTAACCTTACTGTGATACTCATTTTGCGATATATATGAGAATCAAATCATCACATTGTACACCTTAAACTTATACAATATTATATGTCAATTATATCTCAATAAATGTGGAAAAAATAAAAACACATGTAAGAAAAAAATAGATGCCAACATCGAGTTGACAGAGATATTAAAATAATCTGACAAAATTTTAAAGCAGCAATTCAATAAGCAATTATAAAAACACTTGAAAGAGATAAAAAGGAGAGATAAACACATCTACAGTTGTCGTTGGATACTTCAACATTCCTCATTCAAAAAGTGCTAAAACAACTAAACAGAACATCAGCAAGGATCCAGAACTCAGAAACACTATCCACCAATAGGAGCTAATTGACATTTTTGGAACACTCCATTCATCAACATTAGAAGACCTACTCTTTTCAAGTGCCCATAGAACATCAACCAAGATAGATCACTTCTTATTCTATAAAACAAATCTCAACAGTTTTAAATAAATTGAAATCATACAGTATGTTCTCTGACCCAGTGAAATCAAACTAGAAACCTGTAATAGAAAGATACTAGGAAATTCTCCAAACATCTGGAAACTAAACAACACCCTTTCAAATAGTCCATTGGTCAAAAGAAATTGGTCTAAGGGGAAATGAAAGCAAAACAAAACACTTCAAACTGAATGAAACTAAAAAGGAAACATAGTTTGATTTCCTAGACCAACAATCTCTTTCTCCTGTTTCCTAACTGTGGACATTAGTGTCCCTATGGCCATGAGGAGAAAGGAGAGGAGAAGAGAAGAGGAGAGAAGAGAGGAGAGGAAAACTTTGACCTAAGTTTCAGGTCTAAAAAAAAAAAAAAAATGCAAAATGTTAACATTCCAAAACTTTTTGAGAAAGAAACATAGGAGTAAACTTCTCAAGATCTGGAACTAAACATAAAACTTGTAGCCTTGACAATGAAAGTGTGATCCATAAAAGGAAACATTGACAAGATGAAAAATTTTGCTCCGTGAAAGACCTTGTTAAGAGGATGAAAAGACAAGCTACATGGTGGGAGAAAGTATTTGCAAACCCCGTATCTGATAAAGGGCTCATACCAAGAATACATAAAAACTCCCAAAACTCAATGGTAAAAACAAACAATCCAATTAAAAAATGAACAAAAGACTTGAAGAGACATTTCACTGAAAACAAGCACATGAAAAGATAATCAACATCATTAGCCAGTAATGAAATGCAAATTAAAACCACAATGACCGATCACTACACACCTACCGGTATGGTGGGGAAAAAAAATAGTGACAACACCAAACACTGATGAGGATGCACAGAAACTGGATCACTCACACATTATTGGTGGGAAGGTATGGTATGGCCCCTCTGGAAAACAATTTATCAGGTTCTGATAAATTCAGAAGAGCCAAAAACTGGAAACAACCAGATGTCCTTCAGTGAGGGAAGGATTAAAGAATCTGTGGTGTGTTCATCCCATGAATACTATTTGGGGATAAGAAGGAACAAAGTCTTGCATACAACCACCTAGGTGAAATTCCAGAGAATTATGTTGAGAGGAAAAAAGCCGATTTCCAAAGTTTATATATGGTATGATTCCATTATACAACATACTTAAAATGACAAAGTTACAGAAATAGAGGACTGGTTAGTGGTCACTAACGTGTAAGGAGAGGGTGGGCATGGGAAAATGGATGCGTCTGCAAAATGGCAACCTAAAGCATCTGGTGAAGGTGGAATTTTCTGAGTCTTGACTATCAATACCGCTATCTTGGTGCGATATTGTATTATAGGTTTGCAAGATATTATCACTAAGGGAAGCTGCATAAAACATACGTGAGCTCTTTCTATAAAACTTTGTGTGAATCCACAGTCATCTCAAAATGTAAAAGTTTCATCAAAAAGAAAGTCAGGTACCGAAATTATGAGGACACCCAAGGACTGAGGCACTGCCTGGTCCTGTCAGCCTGCCAGTCCTGAGCCAGGTCCATCCCTGTGATGTCCTGCAAACACCCATCGAAAGCAACTCTGACACCCTTGCAGTGCTCCGGGCATTTGACTCAGACATCTGGTCATAACGCCTCTCGTCCTATGCTTCCCAGACCTGCCTGGCTTCTGGCCTTATGATTTGTCCTTCTGTTTATAATTTCAAATCATTTCTTTATTCCTGCCAATTAAACCCCTTCTCTGTCTTCGGTCATTCACTGATTTCCTGGACAGACAAGCTCTTTCTCCTGTTTCCTGACCTTGGCCCTTAGTGTCCCTCTGGCCACGGGGATGGAAAGGTCTCCAGCGCTCCAGCTAGTAGGTGAGGCTGTGCGTCCTGGGGGAGGGACTACAACACTGAAGCTGACTGATTAGGTAGAGGGTCACTAAGACCCAGTAGCCAAAAATTTGAAGGTGAGGTAATCTCTCCCTCCTTGCTCTTTGTGAATCTTCCCATTTCTGTGGTTAGAAGGATTATTGAACAAGACATTGTGGCCTATGTTCTGGGCTAGATCCAGGAAACTAAATGTTTCCTTTTCCTCAGATCATCAACGTTCTGTCTCCATGCAAAACCAAAGCTAAACAAACAACATTAAGCAGAGGGACGGAACTTGAGATTTTTCCAATTGAAGCTAGTAAGTGTCATACTGTTAAAAACGTGAGTCTCTTAAAAAACAAAAACAAAAACCTCTGTATTCTCTCTTTCATTAACTGTCAGCAGTGGATGCAGATAGTCCCTAAACTGACACCCCGATCTCTGGCCTAATGTGCCCCACATTCAGTGTGGCTGAGGAGAGGAACAAACAACCTGATTCCGTTGCCTTTATCTGAAACAATAGTACCTAGTACCTGTGCTCTGACATCAGCCATTACTAACAAAGATTCTCACTGAAGCTATCTGAACAAATGTCTTTTTTTTTTTTTTTCCAGATGGCCCATGTTTTTTTCAGAGAGAAGAGCCGCACACGCTATACGTCTTGGCTGCACTGGAACAGACTTCTCAGAAAGAATTGGACGGCAGAGTCCTTGAATTGTAGAAGAGCTGATCTCCGAGGAAGAAGAGGTGATGTCTTCTGCTCAACCCTCTCTATCTAGCTCCTCACCTCTGTGCACAAGCCGCAGGATGCAGGCACGGTTCTGAACCTGCTCTCTGGGCATGTTTTATTTCCTACCGCTCTGGCAAACCTATCACTGAATTTACTCTGGTAAGAAGCAATTGTAAAACCAACTTGTGTGGTACAAAAAAGCAGGGGAGAAATGGCGGCGCCCCTTCAAACACCGTGTCTCTGGGCAGAAGGGCGCAAAGGAGAGGAAAAAGAGCAGACACCCCAGTCGTCAGTGTCCAAAGTGACTTGTTTGGATGTCTGCTGAAATCAGAGGCACTTTTTAAAATAAGTCCAACAACTGTGCTTGGGCTTTCTTCTATCTCCTCCCTCCAGGTTTCTCCCACAGTCTCAAATTGCATGGAATTCCATTCTCTAATTTTTCATGTGAATTTTATCAAAATCTCCAACCATCTTTGGGAATGTTTACTTTAAAATTTCTTCCCTTTTTATGCTGAAGAATCTTTGTCTCAAAGGATCATAAAATATTAAACATTTCCCTAAATCTAAAAAGGGAATGAGATCACACAATATTTCAAAGGTCCAGTCAACATCTGACCACGTTGCTCAAGAGGACAAGATAGAAGAATACCACGCGGAAATAGTTTAAGAATGGTTGTTTTTCAAAAATGTCAGCTAAGCCATAATTTCTATGTTCATAAAAATTAACATAGGCCACTCTTTCAGGAAAAAAATTTCCAAAATATTCAGTCTCCCTAGTTGTTTTGCATCTGTGTTTGGAGCCAGCCACACTTTTCTCGATGGTTCTAACTCCTCTCTCTTATGGGTCCCTTGCACCTGCACTCAGTGTTTCCATTTTATTCCCAGCTCTCCCTTCATACCCAAGAGGTGACTCATTTTGGTGGTAAATGAACAAGAATATACCCATGGCTTGAATATTTTCAAATCAGTGTTAAATGAATGCAGAAGATTATCCTTAAAATACCTGTCACAATTCAGGTGGCATCTGTTTCAAGAGCACAAATAATCCAATATTTTGTCGTCTCATCATTCGTGGCTTTTTGAGAGAAAACAGCAGAACAAGCTGTAAGTGAAACCAAATAAACAAATTTTGGTTTTGACAAGGGGGACCAATCAGTCTATTTTAAAACCTGTGTGGAGGTGCACGTATTTTGACAAACTTTTAAAGCCTGTATTTTCTGAATTAATATGTTTGTCCAAATACCAGTTGATTTAAAGTGAGAATGAAGATGTCATCCGTGCTCCACTATATATATATATATAAGCTATCTGTAAAAAATCACACATTTACATATACATACATATATATAAACTTTCTAAATGATCAGATAAGGCTTCTTAATTCTTATAATTGAAACAACTTTAAGCTTTATGTTAGAGACCAGTTCATGCCTTTGGAGAATTTAAAATAGATAAAAACCATGAATAGTACGTTTTGCATCTTTTGTCTTTCATTTTCTATTTGTACAAACAAAACAAAACAGAACTGTATCTCTTAAAGATTGCCATGCAAGTTGCCGAGATGCATGATTCTATATAATTCTATCACTCCCATACTCATATCAATATTTAGAAATTTGCTCTTGAGAGAGATTGATTTACCATATGTGGTGATAACAACCATTACAAACTCCCAATATTTCACAAACCATGATATAAATTGACTTTACTTCACACTCCTGGATGCCATTAGACTCCTCCCCTACCAGGGAAATTGTTTCCATGGTAACCGAAAGGGAAAAGCACAGGGAGGGGAAAAAAAGGCACAGAAAGCTAATGAAATGAGATATCTATGGAATAAACAAAATATGGGCAAGTGTGGGATGTCCTAACACTTTTATTGTTTCTAGATCCCACATACTTCTGGAGACGCTAAGGCCGTACTGTCTGACAGAGCAGACAGTGCCTGAGGATGGTCTTGTTAAAAGGTCCAACAACGGGCAGGGCTGCCTGCTATTTCCCAGTGTAAATGGAGCCTGCTGAATCTTTCTATCCACACCAACTCTGCAGAACGCGTGTGGGCATGGCTGGACTGATTCAGAGCACGGCAGATAGTTAGCTCGGAAGCAGAGCTGTTCACAGGAGCACCGAATCGCCCTTCCTAAGGTAGCTGCAGTTCTTTTTCTAGCCACACACAGAATTCTCCTGTGGGTGTCGAGCACTAAAATCCATTCAGACCATTTGGGGCGCTCCGGAAGTTCTCTAGAATGAAACATTAGGTAGCACCTGCTTTTATCTTTTTCTTCATGTTGGCTGAAGTAAAATATGCAGCTAATGTAATTTAATTTTTATTAGATTCTGCATATATGTGGCTTTCAGAATGAACTCAGGGGAACACACATTACTCATAAACATATACTTTTTAATTAATTTTTCTTTGTAATTCAAAGTAGATATCTAATGCATTCATGGAACGATATGCACTCCCTCTGGGGGGCAATTTTAATACCTGCAATTCCCCAGATTGTTAATCAAAGCCTTTTTAGCCTTGTAGATAATTTATATCTGCTTAATGTTCAGAAGGTTGAAATTGCAGCCATATGAAAAAAAAATTCTTACCTCTGACAAAATCAGAGAAGATAAAAAAACCCCATGATAATTCTACAGAAATGGAAAATGGTGGAAATACCCTTTCTTTCTGAGCTGCTTTTTGTGAAAATATTTTGTGGCTTTATGTTAAAAAAAAAAAAAGCAGCTTTTTTTTTTTTTTTTCTGGAAAACACAGTGAAACTGCTTGGCTAAAAATGCAGCAATGGCCAGAAATCTCCATCTCAGAACATGCCTATTTCTAGTAGTTTTATATTTTGGAAGAATACTTTTTTTTTTTTTTTTTTTTGCTTCTTAAGAAAAATATTACTGGCAAAAAAATTTACATGGGAAAAATTTAGATTTTGTGGGGGTTCAATTTAGGTTTAAGTTCTGTTTTGCTAGCTCTGAGGCTCCTTGTGTTTCTCTCCTGTTATGTTACTGTGTGACCCTGTCATTAAGCTCAGTTGTGTCCAGCACATAGTGAGACAAGGTGAGAAGAATGGTTCCGGCTACACCCTGAGCAGTGGCTTTAGATCCGGAACTGTGGAGATGAGGCGCCATAAGTCAGAGACGGAACAGGGACGGGAGCACCATGTGCTCTCCATCTGGGATCCTTCTCCATGATGTGGCACTGCTCCTTGAGAAGTGTGCCTGCTTGTGTGAGCAAGTGCACATATATGAACACGTTCCCCTGGACACACACACACACACACACACACACACACACATTTTGCTTTGTAGGTACATAGCTACATCTTTAAGGAAAAAAAAAAAAGATTTTATCTAATTATTTGACAAGAGGGAGAGAGAGCACAAGCAGGGGGAGCTGCAGACAGAGGGAGAGGAAGAAGCAGACTTCCCGCTGAGCAGGGAGCCCAGTGTGGGACTCCATCCCAGGACCCTGAGATCATGACCTGAGCTGAAGGCAGACGCTTAACCGACTGAGCCACCCAGGTGCCCCACATAGCTACATCTTAACTGAAAGTGACATTTCAACAGCGGGGCAAGGAATAGAATGGTGGACCCTTAGAAATGGAAGGAAGGTTTGAGAATTCTGCATCTGATCTCCCATGTGGGGGGACGGTGGGGGAGGAGTTCCCTCGTAACAGAGCTGACTGTGGATAATTCAACTTAGGCTTAAACATTCCAGGGAGCGGGCACTCACTACTATATGAGCCAAGCTAGAGCATTGTGAGACAGAATGAACTTATTAGAAAGAGGCCTTTTATATAATCTTACATCTACCTTTAAAAATATTCTACTGGTGTTGTACTCTAAAACCAAATAGAATAAGATGAATTTTTTTTTCCTACTGCCTGGCCGTCCTTAAATCTGTTTAACACAATTGCCTTCCCCTTTTCGTGAGCTAAACATCTCTCTTTGCCTCCTTGATTCCTCCCATGATAGGACTTTGGGAACCCTAGTATCTCGGCCGACCTACTTGAGCCAGTTTGGCACCCAAACTGGATACAGTATTCTAGATATGGTTATTATTTACGTAGTGGAGAGTGCAGTGGGTTCTGTTTCCATTTATTAGCAGTTTGTTTTTATTGGTGCACTACAAAATCAGATGTGGCTGCATTTTCACAGACAGGTCATTCTGCCAGTTCACATTGGACTTATAGTTATCTTTACACTCTTAGATCTTTACACTGCTTGGAGTCTGGCCTTCCCGTTCTGTACCGGGCAGCTGACTTTCTGAGGCTAACTGCAGAACATTCTGTTTATTGCTGGTACAATTTATTTCACAGGTTAAGCCTTCCTTTTAGCCTATTCATATCATTTTCAATCCTTAGCTCTATTATTTTAGTATTTGCTGTTAAATTGGGATTTTTGAGTCAGTCACAAAGTTGGACAGGATGTGATTCATGACTCAGTCTAAGTCCTCAGTAAAATTTTACGCAGGCCCAGGTGAAGAAAGGATGTCGGGGCTGCTGCTAGAGATTTCTCTTGGAGTAACCAGAATATAGATTTTCTGATGTTTAATCAACTGTGAATCCACCTAGCTGTGCTATCGGACCACATTTCTAAACCTCACTAAGGAAAACTATGGAAGAGTTTATATAGCTCTTGAAATGAAGGAGTACTCTCTGTTGCTCCTTTACTGTTTTATGTGTGTGTCAAAAGAAAGGTGATGAATTTGATGTGACCCATACACCTTGTGCTGCTTCCAACATTCTTTCCTTCTGTTCACTCCTTAGCTTTATTGGGCATTTCTTCTTAGTGGTATTTTTCTGATACAGTTATCTTCTGCTGTAGAAATAATTTTAATAGTTTGATCCGAACATTTATCTCTCTTTATTTAGAAGCTTCCCACTCTTGTAAGATAATCTCTTGCCAGATGCATTTTTCCTGATCATCATATTGCCAGTCCCTTATCAAGAACTCAGGCCTTAGTGTCACAACCTCTAGTCCAAAAAGCCAAATCCTATCACTTAACATCGCTTTGGTCTGCCAAAAAGTCACAATACTCAGTAAGAATGAGCTGATGACATCACCTCAAAAAGTGGTTTTTTGTTTTTATTTTTGTTTATGTTTTAAATATTGGTATCATTTCTTTGTGTGTACCTGCAGAAATGGGAAGGAGCTAGTGGATTTGAGGACTCTGGATAAGGCCTCTATCCTTGAGGACATAATTTTCAGGAAAGAATCTCAAGCTTCCATCATGTCAGGATGTCGGCTGTTTGACTGCCTCTTCTCTCTGCCACAGGAACTGCTCCTGTAGGGAAGCAGCTCAACGGGGCTGAAGAGACAAGAATAGAAGAAAAAGCAAGTTGAGGTAAGAAAGCCAGAGAGTAATTCTGGGTCGTGCCTGAGCTGACCATTCACCAACCACTGCCCAGCCATGCACCAAGAACCCTGGTGCCAAACAAGAGATCTCATAACTCTGCCTCAGAGTCATAGACGATCCCTTCTGGGTCCATATTGCACCCCCACATCTAATTCAGAACCTTGTTTCTGTTCTGGCATTCCTAATTTCCAACCTAATACCACATGCCTCTGTCTTGGCCCATCTAATTTCCCATTTTGTATTGAAGCTTTCCTTGAACTACCAGGTTTTAATGTCAACCTCACCCTCACAGTTATTTCTTAGGTCTGTTAGATGATATTTTGAGAGGCCATTCTGATGCTGTGGACATTTTGTGGCTCTGGGCATGAGAGATGGAGTGAGGAGCAGAGATGAGGCAATTATTACTTGGTAATTATTTGTTTCCTCAAACATTTTCTTTTTAGAACCAGAAAATGCCCACGATACCAAAGTCTGCATCAAAATAGTTATTTCAATACCTTTCTGAGGGCTCTGGGTTCAGCTTCTGATCTCAGCTCTGTTGAAGTGGGTCCTATGTTATATCACTCCACACACTCACACCCAGACCTGGCCCTACGAACTTGACCTTCCATCCTGAATCCTACTTGCCAACGCAAAGAATTCAGGTAATTGTGGGAATCAGTTGAGCTGCTTTTACCCAATTCTGACCAGTCCTAGTTTCTTTGTACTTATTATGTAGAGGGGAAAAAAAAACAAACCTTTCTTTATGCTGCTCACCATCTCTTCTGCAGCCTGCACAAGAACAGAATCTGGGACAAGCAGCACAGAGTAAAATGATTTGAGAGAGCATAAGAGTTCAAATATGGAGCCTGGTAATACAAATATGGTAGTAGCTAGAGTTTGGAACATGAGCATATTCCACAGATTTTATACAGTTATTTTTGTATAATAGGACTACAAGCTTTCAGATGGCTAAAGAAAGATGTAGAACATTACCAGAAATCAGTGATGGACCACTGCAAGGGAAAGGACTATTTCTGCTAAGGATTACTGTGAGTTTGGAAGGCAAAGGAAGGGGGACAGCAAAAAGATATTTGATTCAGTTCTTGATAGATGTTAAAATTTCCCAACATCCTGGCCTTTTAGAGTTTTTTTCCAAACAGCACAAGGCAACAGAGTGACTATACGTTCAGGGCAGATATTTCTGTGCCTTTATCGAGTGCCCCTTGATGACTCACAAACATGTATGTCCAGCCCTGGCCTCTCCTCTGAGCCGCAAGGTAATAAATCTAACTCCCATCAATATCTCAAAAGAATCTAAAATGTAAATGATCCAAACTAGGATGCTTGGTTTACCTTCTTTCCCAGGCCTGCTCCCTACGTCAGTAATTAAGGGTTCCCTACACTCCCTCTTTCAGTGAGTAGCACCATCATCCATTTACCTGCAAAGTCAAAAACATGGGAGTCCTCCTCATGTCCTTCACCACCCACACCCCATTCATCAAGAAGTTCTATTAGCATTTTCTTATAAATATATTCCAAATTAGCCACTTCTTCTTATGTCTATTGCTGCCAAACCATCATCATTCCTTAATTGGGCTACTTTACTAGCATAGCATCCTAACAGGTCTATGTGTTGCCCTCTAGATCAATTTACATATTTCCTTTGTTCAAAACCCTTTTATGGCTCTCTATTGTAGAGAAACAAAATAATGTGCAAATTCTTGAGAGGCCTCTTCAGTCCCATATGATCTGGTTCCTGCCAACCTCTTTATCTTCACCTCCTATCTACTGTCCACCCTCACTGTGCTGTCTTTCCACTGTTCACTCCCCCCAAAGCTTTCCCCACCTCCATCTCCTTTGCACTGAGCCTTTTGGCTGCCCAGAGCTTTCTTCCTTCAGATCTGCACATGATAAGTTCTCTCTTATTCAGATCTCAGCTCAAATGTCCTTCTGTGACAGTGGCTTCCAATCACCCTACTTAACATTTCTGAAGGTCACTCTTGATCTCATTGCTCTGGAGTATCTTCTTCATTGTACTTGCTATCTAAAGTCTTACTTACTGATCTACTACCCTACTCATTTATTACCTGTTTCTCCCACTAAAATGTAAGTTCTATGAGAACAGAACCCTAGTATGTCTATTTCACCTCCACATCTCTTGTACCTGAAACATGGCACTCAGTAAACTTACCTGATGAATGATATAATGCAATGAAAATCCACCTCTCTTTAATTTCTAAATTCTCCTTATTTAAATGACTTTAGTGATACTTTCTGAATATTAACAAAATGCATAAAATCTTAGCTCACAATGACAGTATAGACCGTTATTGATTCAAACAAAATTTATTTAGCTACTGAAACTAATGAACTAACAATTATTGATTTATAACAGGAAAATGTTTTTAGCAAACATTTTCACTAGAGACCATTAATATTTTTTAAAGATTTATTTATTTATTTTAGAGAGAGTGAGAGAACTGGGAGAGGGACAGAGAGAGAGGGGGAGAGAAAGAGAATCTCAAGCAGATTCCCCACTGAGCATGGAGACCGATGAGGGGCTCAGTCCCATGACCCCAAGATCATAATCTGAGCCGAAATCATGAGTCAGATGCTTAACCGACTGAGCCACCTAGACGCCCCTAGAAACCATTAATATTTTTAATCTTTTGTAAGACATTATGATGTGAGGTTGCAACTTGATACAAAGGAGAGTGAATGGCCAGAGAAATAAACTTTTTCCTTGATAGTCTTACTTTATTACTTATAGATATCCTTGAAAACATCGTAAGTTATATTTAAAAATCAGTAAGATGTATTTCTAAATCATACTTTATAACTTGGGAGACATGATTTAACTGGGAACGATCTCAAATCCATATTTGAACAGTAGTATGCACAAGATTAAATCAAAAACTATTCATATACCACTAAACACATACCTGACAAAAACTCAGTTTGAATATATATACCAAATTTGTACATAGACACATCAGTCAGCAGAAGCTCATTCAAATAGAATATATAGTAGACAAAAAGCCAGAAGGCCTGGATGCTAGCAGGCTGACCATCAACCAACTTACCAGGCTTATAAAAAGCAAGTCAATTAAAGATGTAAGAGCTAGTGTCTACTGAACAATTACTACAGGTCAGGAACTCAGTTCTAAGCACTTTAAAAGCAATGGTCCCATGTCCTGAATCCCTTTTTCAATATGCCCTGGGCATTAATAAGCATTTTTATAATGGATCCAATGAAGAAACTTATAGCATATTAATTTTCTCAAATTAGGAAAACCAAAGGTTAGGTAGTTGTGGGGGAAGATGATGTTAGTAAAAACAAAACAAAACTTCAGAATCGGGAATGGAATTTAAGTGGTATGAGGAATATCATTCAAATATCTCAACCTTAGGAGAAAAGGCAAACCTTGGGCCAGATCAGTAACTGGTTTTCAGAAACTGGGAATCTATAGGACAAACAACAGAAATAGATACTGAGAAATGAGAAAGAGCCAGGCATAGAGGAAGTCCTTTACAACCTTGCAATGTTCCAGATCTTTACTTGGTCTATGAGCCTCCACATAGGCTGGCCTATCATGCCTCTGACTCATCTCTTACTATTCTCAGCCACCTTGGCTTCTTGCTATACCTCCAACGCTCCTGGCATGCTCTGTCTCAGAGCCTCTGGACTTTTCTCATCTCTGCCTGGAATGCTCCCCTCAGCTATCCTCATGATGAACTCCCTCATCTCTCAAGTGTTCACTCATTTATTTGTTACCTTCTCATTGCTTACCCTGACTATCCAATTAATACAGAAACCCTCTACCTCCAGTACTACTGATCCCCAACTCTGCTTAACCTTAAAGTTTTTCCATAGCATTTACATCTTCTCATATATTATGTCATTTACTGTTTTTATTATGTATAGTATCTATTTCTCTACTCTGAAATTTAGTGTCTAAGTGGGTATGGATTTTTTTCCCTGTTATAATAGATTCCCTAAAAATGGCCTCTATTTTTCATCCCTCCTTATATTAATTTGCTAGGGTTGGCTATGCACTGGGTGGCTTAAGCAACAGAAATTAATTTTCTTATAGTTCTAGAGGTTAGAAGCCCAAGATCAAGGTAGTGGCAGGTTTGGTCTCTCTCCTTGGCTTACAGATGGCTGCCTCTCATTGTGTCCTCATCTGGTCTTTCCTCTGTGTGCATGAAACCCTAGTGTGTCTTTGTGTTTCCAAATTGCCCTTTCTTATAAGCCTACCAGTCAGATAGGAATAAGACCCACCCTAACAGTCTCATTTTAAATTCATCACTTCTCTAAAGCTCTGTCTCCAAAAAGATAGTCACATCTGAGGAAGTGGAGGTGAGGACTTCAATATGTGAATTTTGCAGGGGACATTTCAGCCCATAATATACTATATATCCATCTATTTTGCACGTAACTTTGTAGCGCTCCCCCACTCTGTCTCTGGTCTTGGCCTTGAGATTTGCTTTGGCCAACAGCATGTTGGGAAATATGACACAAGCAAAGACTTGAGAAGCACACATATGATTGGATTTGTTCATCCTTGCTTTTCTGCCATGGCTCTGAGAACATGCCTAGACTGGCCAGTTGAAGAATGAATGAAACTTATAGAACAAGAGTAAATTTCCAAGTGGTACCAGCTAAGGCCATCTAGGATCAGCCACAGCCAACTGACCCCCAGATGTGTGAGAAAACCCAGCTAAGATCAACAGAGCCACCAAGTGAAAATATGAGAGTGTCCCAAGCATGATTAGCCAAGCTTCTTATTTCTTCTTCAGCACCAACATCACTTCCACCGAGTGGTGGGCAAGAGGGGCCTGAGTAATGCTTCCATGCCCCTCCCAGCCTTTCCCCCCAGGATTTCTTATGTCCTCTCATACAATTTATGTTCTCCTTTTCAGCATTTTCCATAGCGTGTGCTTACAAATGTGTGTGATTAATACTCCATGCACGTCTCTTGTGCTAGATTTTGACTCCACAAGGGTAACATGTCTAGCTCAGTATTACACTCTTAGAATCCAGGGTAATGCTCTTAACAAGGTTAGTATACAATAAACACTTGTTGAAAATTAGGGCAGTAACCAAATATTATTCATTGTGTGTCCTTCCCATTTATTAATACATGCCACTAATGGAGAGAAATCACAAATGAAACTAAATACTACTGAAATAAAACGTCTAAAACAAGTTTGGTCATTACCAAAGAATTTCTGAATTTCCTTACTGAAGGAAGGTTTTCAGTAAATATTTGTTAAATTAAATTGATAGATGCCTTCAAAGAAAACATTCTGAAAAGTGATATTTATGTTCTGAAACCCAAAGCTTTGGATTAATATGTTAATAAAGCTTTTGCAGGCTTTCTCTACTGAATAAAAATTCCAATAACAGCCAACTCACATTATTGATCAGCTTTTGGCAATCCTGCCATGCCACTCACAGTATCAAGCCATGGAAAGAAATGTAGAATGAAGGGATTTGGAAGCAGCGTGTATCTATAGATGTTGAAATAATGCTTAGATGCCGAGCTACCTCACAATGAATACAGGACAAATTATAAAAATGTTGTTTCATGAACTTCAGGAGGCCTTGTACACAAGCTTGGAAGTTTTGATCCTAGTGGGGAATTCAATGTAGAGGGAACAGCATCTGGAAGAGCACTGCCATATAGGAGTGACTGAGAGAAAGTGAGAGTAGCTGGAGGACATTGAGCCTGAGATGAGGCTGCGGGGATGCACAGAGACCAGATTATGCCCATCTCGGAGGACCACATTAGAGCTATTCATCCTTGTCCTAAGTACAGTGGGAGCTATGATCACTCTAGCCTGCATGGGGAGGATGGACTGGACAGCAGAGTGGGGTGAGGCTATTGTGATGGTCCAGTCCTACTTGCCACAGCTTGTGGGAGAGCGCCTGGCTACAGTTATCCGCTATTTCTTTTTCACAGGCGTAAATAAGAATGTGTTTTGAAATTAGCAAAGTCTTCTTTTAAACAGATAATAGACTAGACTTGTTGAGACTTTTGCTTGGGCTCTAAATATCTATTAACAGAGCCTCATCAATGAACTGTAATCCCTATTAAATGAGGTTGTGAGCATCAGCAAAACTTTAGTACCTACGACTACGCCTGGCAACAGCACTGCCAATAGATATTTGCTGAATAAATGACCAAAGGAATCAAGGGTTACAAAAAAGGTTACAAACAATGAGTGACCCCAAGAAGCATGTTGAAAGTAGCTGAGAAAACCATTTTCCTTTCTAAACCTTGAGTTTTATTTCTTGCAAGAATTCAATAACTCCTTTCATTTTTTCAGCTTCTGTACATCTATATGTTGAGCCATCAATTAAAATAAACTGCACAAAATGCCCACTCCGCAAAGTGTTCTTGCCTCTGGCACACGTTCCATTTCCATACTGGCATAACCAAGATAACTAATGTAGTTGTTCGACTCTAGGGTCAGCAACTTGTTCTCTCTCAATTTCTAAATCCCAAGGCAAACAGCTTTGAGATACTAGAATAAGAAGAGTTAAAAAGAAATTGCCAGTTCTTTTGTTGCCTTATTAAGTCTGGAGTATTCTATTTAATCCTATCTTCCTCTAGGAGAAATCAACTATTTGAAGAAAAATACATTCCTGGTATCTGAATGCTGTCTTTCAGTAAGGAGCAAAGATCAAAGAGGGTGCATTTTCTAATCTTTGAACATTAACAATGTCCCTTGTACTGCAAAATGGAATTTCTTAGGGCTGTTAGGGAGACCCCTGTAGTTTTGAGCATATAAATGGAATGTCTTAATACAGCACATGAAATTAATTGTAACATATTTAATATCCCTCAAATAAATTTGAAAGAACAAGGTATTTGGTACTTGGATATTTATTTTAGACATTTCACCAACTGCACAGAGCTCTGTAATAAGTCTGAAATACTTAACACAGATAAGATATCTTACCCAAGCTCAGCATTTTCTCCTGATGTTTGTAATTTTTGCTATAAGAAAATTGGACAGTTTTATCACCAGGTAATATTTGTTAACCAGGGTCTGACAAAGGGAAAAAGATGGATGACTGCTAGATCAGCATGTGGCCTGCCAAGAAAATAAAAAGACACTCAGGGTAAGTGATTTTAATCTGTTGGTCAGTGCCCTATTCAGGATGTCATATTTTTTTATGAAAATGCAAAAGAAAAGGTTCATAATACACAGTGGTGACATATATAACTTCTGTTTCATGATTTGTAAAGAGTAGGCACCTCATTGACTGGTTGGATTTATTCTCTGTATTTGAAAGATAGCCCTTGGATTACCCAAAGAGAACCTTCTCATTTTTGTAATTGCTTTATCATTCCAAGGGGATTCTGGTGCCTGGCTCATCCATCCCCTCTTTATAATGCCCTCTATATTCCACCTCTTAATCAAAGGACACTTTGCCTAAGAATGCATTTACAGAAAATTGAGATACACATTTTGTATGGATGAAGGCAACTGTGTCATCTACATTTTCCACAATTCAGCCATGCCCTTTGTTCTTGGACATGATAGAAAATCTGTTTTCACTCTCAATTGGAAAGCCAGCATGAGTTAGACCAGATGGCTGTTGACCTTCAGGCAATAGAGAATGGGAGGGATTCCCAACTGTTCTCATTACTCTGGGCAGTGACCTCCTTTGGAGCAACAGCCGCAAGAAGCTGACACCTAGAAAACTTACTTTCTCCTTGAACATTAGACACATTACTGGTTGTGTATTGAGATCTCTAGTTACCTAATCTTCATGGTGTCAATGTCTTATGTCTGTGTTTATATATATTACTCTTTATTCAATGAAGTCAGGCTGCTGGTGTTCTAAATGTCTTGATAAGAGAAGACAGCTGAGTTCAGATGTCTGATGATGTTAGCAAAGTTTTCCCAATTTTTATATCCCTGCGCACAACACAGTAAATAGATCACAGTATATATTCAATGTGTGTGTGTTTTATTGAATGATTAAAAGATAAATGAATGCTAGCCACCATACTTTTACATTATCTGTAAGATATTTTCAGAAAATGTACATATATAGAAACATAATACATTGTAAGCACCTATCTTAATTGTTTCCCAGTAACACCAGTAAGATAGGTTCTGTTATTATTCTTTTTTGCTAGATGAAAATTTTAGTGTTATTAACTAGTGAGTGGAAGAAATGGAACTGGATCAAGTCTATCTGATCAAATCTGATGCTCAAATGTTTAACTACAATGTTCTCTTATTTCCTTCTTGTTACCATAGGGAGATGACTAACTAGGGTTAAAATTATATCCCTAAAACCGTGGAATAGTTTGCCTGTAAATTTTCTTTCAGAACCCATGGCTGCTTATTATTCATTTATTTACATAGTTTACAATAATAAATGGCTATACGTGAGATACATCAGTATACTTGCTACAAGATTGAAAGAGCTGATGAATGCTGGACAGAGGTGGGGATAAAAGTATTTTCCTCTTCTATTTCTATCAGGTTGCCTTTTAGATCTGATGTGATCTGACATCTCCCCCCAGGACATCTGAGTGTGCCGAGTTATCAGTTCTCTGTCTATTTCCTACTGTCTAGCCAAGAGAAAACTGACATCTTGCTGGGCTGGGTCTCTAGCTATCTGTACTGCATATATTAAATAAATAAAACTGAAAGAACTAGGTCATTGGAGCAAATGTACGCATTTATTGAGCCATAGATGAAGGGATATCTAAAATGTGTCCCCCATTATGGAATGTATCTGAATCCGGTGTTATGTCACATATTGGGTGAAACCACAGACCGAACAGCCCTTGTCACCCACACAGCCATACAAATATAGCTTCTTGGCAAACTGCATTCACACACAAGATGGCAGTAAGTACAATTTTGTTTCTCTGTTGATCTTAAAACCATCCCCTTTCTTTACATCTTAGTGCCATAATTATATCACCTGGCTCAGCACAAGCAGCTGTCCCTTAGTAGGTAGACAGAGTGGGATGGACCTCTATTATGAAGAGAGAGGAAATCCCATGTGGCCAGGTCTTAGTGGGACTGAGGGAGTGAGGGAGTGGCCTATGGCTGTTTCTCCTCATCGTTCAAAAACGATTAACACCATAGTTTGCTCACTGGGCACATTTGGGCTGGTGGCCCCAAGTCAGAATGAGTAAAAATGTCCATTTGACTCCCATGCCCATCTTTCTCCCCTCCATAGCGGCACCTCACAAAGCTAAGAACTTTCCTCCTCACACTGTGTCTCCTTTCCCCTAGTACCACTTATCCATTCCAAGAATGTCAGTTAACAAGTATTTACCAGTGTAAAGGAAAGATCTTTTTTTTTTTTTTTTTAAATTTTGCAACACATTGAGAAGAAAACCATTATAAATCTTTAAGGGCTTAGTTTTTTTAATCTTAGGAAAAGTGTAATTGGGCAGAAGGTTATTTACTAGGTACTTTTGAAAAGACCAAATAATAGCTTTTCAGCATATCCTACATTAAGCAGCATCAAAAAGATGCATGAAAATAGTATCTGACAATGACGTGGTAACTATGTGTATACATGGTTATAGCATTTTAATGCATCTGCCTGCATTCTAGACTCCATTCACAAAATCGTTCTGACATACTTAGGGATATTTTTACTTGAATTTATATTTATTATTTGGCACAAACCTAGTCATTCCACAATCATCACTTTAAAACTAACAGAATTGATAAGAAACCACGTTGGATTTGAAAGAAATTATTCAATCAATATCTGAGATACTAAAATACATCCCAACTTTTAAAAGTATTCCTCTTGTTACGTTGCTAAGAAAACTCCCTTCACAATTCATACATCTCATATTCTCATTTCTAAAAATGTGTAAAGACAGAGCTTTTCGTCTCTGAAATAAAATAGTTGTTTGCAATGCTGGCTTGCAGGGAAGAAAAATGCCCTCTGTCCTCTTTTGGCTTAAATCCAATCAAAATAATAATAGATTTCAAGGGTCAACTCTTAAATATTGGCTTGAGCTGCTTGGAATGTTGGGAAGAATTTTGAGGCTCTATCCAGGCACAGAGTAAAAGGTGTTATTACCAGTTAGTGATGTCTGCCTTGGGAGCACAAGTGAGGAAGTAGATCCCCTATGCCATATATTTGTCATCTCTGCTTTAAGGTTTCTTAAATATAATCACTTTTATTGAGTCGAACCGTATGAAAAAATAGTTGCACACAAGTGAGATTCAATGCTTTGTGGTTTTGGGGCATCACATTTTGAAGATATTTAAATTTTGTTTTTGCTATATGGTACAAAATATAAGCCATGACAGAAATCTCATCAGCTTAATAGTAACTTTTGTATTGCACTTTCGGTTACAAAGCACAAGCAACTTTTCATAGATATGATCTCATATGTGCTTGGACAAACCTGTGAAGTAGGCATTACCTTTTCCTTATTTATGTATGTTTGCACTAAGACACTGAAGAGTTTCAATAACTTTTCCAAATTGTACCCAGGATGAAAATGCTTGCCTCAGAAAAGTAGCATAGTGAGGTTTTTGGGGAATATCCAAATAAAATTCTGAGAGGAATATATTCTCTCATTATGAGAGTTCTTTTTTTTTTAAAGATTTTATTTATTTATTTATTTATTTATTTGAGAGAGAGAGAGAGCGCGCATGAGAGGGGGGAGGGTCAGAGGGAGAAGCAGACTCCCCGCTGAGCCGGGAGCCGGATGTGGGACTCGATCCCAGGACTCCGGGATCATGACCTGAGCCGAAGGCAGATGCTTAACTGACTGAGCCACCCAGGTGCTCTCATTATGAGAGTTCTAAAATCAGTCTGAGAGGATGCACTCTGGGCCGTCCAGGACACAGTTGATACGTGATTGCTCCACTACACGGCCCAGCCAAATCAAACTGCTTATTAATTCCATAACAAAAAAAGTGGATAATTTTCTATATCTGTTCCTTTGTATACATGTCCCCTGTTCATTTTTACCATCTGGCTATGTCTTACCTCTCTTTCAAGACTGCTCAAGCATTAACTTCTTTTAAATGTCTTACTTTTTCTTCCCAGAACTGGAATGAGGTACCATTTTTCTATACATCAACCAACTAGGGAATGTTCTACCACAACTTCACACCAGGAAGTTTTGACTTGGAGTCTTCACACAAAGATATACCTGAATACATTCTTTTTTACCTCTCTTGAGAACTCCTCTTTTCCTACCTCTATGTGGTAAGTGGACTCTAGAAGGACCCAGTTCCTAGAGGCCATTCAGAAAACCTCTCTCTCTTCTACTCCATAGAGTGGGGTGGGTTTTTAGACAAAAAGTATTCTTTTCTCTTTCTTTTCATCTCCCTCACTCCTTCTCTACTAACAGAGACTAGCTCCAAGATTCAGAACACGGAGATAAGATCTCTTTACTAAAAATCCCCACATGAATCAGGCTCAAGAAATACCCTCCAATCCAATTTTCGTGGAAGCTCTTTGTTAGATTATTAGATACATGCAAAGCCATGAAAAGTTACCTTGATACTTATTCTGCTATGTTTCTTGTGGGGATAATTCCTCTAAAAGGGATTATTGACATGGAAGGATTTAGGCATTCCAGACTCCTTGGCTATAATAGTGTCTAATAACAATAAACCCCACAACTGTAATACTCCTTATATAAATTTCTATTATTGCATTTACAAATTAATATGAATAATGTATACTTTGTGACTCAAAACCCTCTAAATACTTTTTCTTCAGCATTATGTTTTTAGGATCTCATTCACTTTTTTGATTCAATCAATTATTTGATTCAGTCATTTTCTATATGCCACCTCTATCAATACAGCTTAAAGTCTTATCAAAGTCTTTGAACCCATTCACTGGAATGTATAAAGATATTTCCCCTGTAGTTTTGAAGCAGTGAAATAATAATCACATGTTTACTGGAAGGATCACTATGAACAACTACTACTAACTATTGTCATGAATTTTGTTTTATTGCTATTATCATGATGTATAGTAAAACACTAGTGCTTACATTAGAGCTGAAGGGCCAAGATATCAAGTCATTCCTATCATTATATCCTTTCCTTTTATTAAATGCCTTCAGAATCATTTGCCTTTGCAATATATATGTATGTGTGTGTATATATATGTATATATTTATATATGTATATATGGGTACATGTGTATGTGTGTATATAAAAATATATAATATATAAATGTATAAATATATGTGTGTGTATATATATGTGTATATATATATATATATATATAAAAAGAGAGAGAACTTAGGTAGGATTCACCACACTTTTACACTGCTTGTTTGCAGATTATTTTTAAATGACTAGAAAAGCAAGAAAGAGTAATATTGTGAGGGATATATCAAGATTGAGAACATTTAAGTGTCTGTGCTAATACACAACAAATATAGTTCACTATAGGTAAATGCAAAATAATGAACTTTTGAGTAAAGAATTTAAAATTGGAAATATCTGGGGCGCCTGGGTGGCTCAGTCGTTAAGGGTCTGCCTTCGGCTCAGGTCATGATCCCAGGGCCCTGGGATCGAGCCCCACATCGGGCTCCCTGCTCTGCGGGGAGCCTGCTTCTCCCTCACCCTCTGCTTGCCTCTCTGCCTACTTGTGCTCTCCCTCTCTCTCTCTTTGTCAAATAAATAAAGAAAATCTTTAAAAAAAATAAAATAAAATAAAATTGGAAATATCTGCTTAATGGAAAGGTGCTGCCCCATACTGATTAGAAACACATTTGAGCTGTTGTTGCAAAATTGTATCCATTTAGCCTTTAGCCCAACATGGAATTGTGGAGAAATACCGAGTAAAATTACTAAAGAACAAAAAAAAAAGTATTGTAAATCAAAGGTAGAATTGCTGTAATAAAGAGTAAGTATACATTTGCTCATAGAAAATACAAAGTATGCGTCACCTCATTTTTAAATCAAGATATCAAAATAATTGAAATGGGCCACTTACTGGGTCCAAAATAACTCTGAAGTTCAACACAAGTTCTATGAAACAGAAAGACAAAATTACCTCGAGGAATGGTAAAGTAATTACAATAGATACAAACTGAAAAAAAGAGACTCAGTGTTTAAATATTAGAAAAAGAGAAAAAAAGTGTAAAATTTATTTCACAAAATTGGCATAGAGGTGGCATATAGAAAATGACTGAATCAAATAATTGATTGAATCAAAAAAGTGAATGAGATCCTAAAAACATAATGCTGAAGAAAAAGTATTTAGTGGGTTTTGAGTCACAAAGTATACATTATTCATATTAATTACAATCATTGTAAATATGAATGTTTTTAAAATATGGGGCACCTGGGTGATGCAGTTGGCTAAGCATCTGACTCTTGGTTTTGGCTCAGGTCAAAATCTTGAGATTGAGCTCCAAATAGGGCTCCATGCTCAGTGCGGAGTCAGCTTAAGGCTGTCTCTCCCTCTCCCTCTGCCCCTCCCCACTGCACGAGCTCCCTCTCTTTCTCTCTCTCTCGAATAAATAAGTAAATCTTTTAAAAAAATAAAAGTGAAAAAATCTTGAACCAAGATGGTGAGCGAAACAAAGATACAAAACAAAATTCACTGATATATTTAGTGATATAATTTATATATATTTATATGGTTTACATTAATATTAATATAAGTTACTTCCATAGATGAAGTGAGCTGTCTTGCTAACCCCAACACTACCAGTTGTGTACTGGTTTATTGAGAAAGTCTTTACCCAAGTTACAAATGCATTGCCTCAAGTATAGAGTCTAAATTTGCAAATTTTGCTTAATCTGCATCCAAATAAAGAAAATATAAGGGTTTTATAAGACTTCTGTCTCAAAGAGAAAAGCCTAATGTCTTACTTTGTGACTAGAAGCATTGAGCAAAATTACTTTTATTTTATTTTATTATGTTATGTTAGTCACCATACATTACATCGTTATTTTTCTTTTTATGTTATGTTAATCACCATACAATACATCATCAGTTTTTGATGTAGTGCTCCATGATTCATTGTTTGCGTGTAACACCCAGCGCTCCATGCAGTACGTGCCCTCCTTAATACCCACCACCGGGCTCACCCATCCCCCCTCTCCCCTCCCCTCTAGAACCCTCAGTTTGTTTCTCAGAGTCCATACTCTCTCATGGTTCATCTCCCTCTCTGATTCCCCCCCTTCATTTTTCCCTTCCTACTATCTTTTTTTTTTTTAACATATAATGTATTTTGATTCACAAAAGAAGAGAAAGCTTCCTTAGCAAAAGGGTAGATCACAAGAGTCCCATTGTTGTGTGTAGATAGTTACTATAATTTTTACGTTCAGGAAAAGAATGGGTGACTGAATTAAAAGATTCCAATGTAAAAACAAACACAGATTTTCATCAATAAATTAGGAATTTTTTTCATTTTCTAAATTATTTTTGTAATCTCCTGAGATCTCATCAGAATTTTCATTCTATCCATTAGTCTTTATACCTAGATCAAAATACTTCACATATATCTATAGAAGCTTGTCTAACTACTTAGCAGGCTATGAAACTTCACTTTCCCCAAAATATTTTCCATAACTAATAAATTTTTCTTTGATGCCGTTGTTGTTCTTCAGATAAATTTCCATTGTTTGCTATCATTGATTACCACAATATAACAGTATGGACATTAATGAAGAACCCCAATATATATCCACATACAGCGTGAGATAAGAGTACCCAAAATGTCTGGATGTTTGAAGAAAGATCCCGGACTTCAGTTTCACTTATGTTGATTCAGTGATTTTTTTTTTCCCACCCCCTATTTTGTGCAAAGCTCTCTGATTTCTAAAATGTGCCCCTAAAAGTCCACAAAATGGATAGTTCTAACTCAAATCATCAAAAGTGGCCAGCTTCATGTCCTTTGCTATGGGGGTTATCATGCCCTCTTCAGTGCACAAAGTATTTCTCTAGAGGAGTTTCTGGGACTGTTTATCTGGCTTGTGTGACTGTGAAGTCGAGGGCAGTTGAGGCTGAGGAAGTCATTGGCTAGAGTAACCTACAAAAATCAGCCATGATATGGTAGATTAGGCCCAAACATAATGTCCCAGAGCTTGCACCCCACTTCTGTCTGCTCCTCAGAGTCTGCACATTCAGAACATGGTCTGGACAGAAGGAGCATCTCCATCTGCTTCTCAGACTGAATCCTAAAGCAGCTGCTCAGTGCTCTTTTATGTTTATTATCTCTCTGAGCTCCTTAATCCTCCCATCATGTCTATGAGGCAGGCTATACTATTATCCTCAGGGTACAAATGGGTAAAGTTGGAGAAAATGAATCATCCGTGCCTGAAAAGCTGTGCTTATCTCCTCATGGGCTCATCAGGGCCACCTTGCATTCGCTTTAATCTTGGGGGTGGGCCTGCCAAGGCCTCAGGGAGAAGGAAGAAATAGAAAAACTAAATCTATGTCTTGCTGAAAGGGAAGACTGGCAGGGACTTCACTCCAGAGTTATCTCTTTTCCCTTACAAGTATATGACCTTGACTAACTCTCAAGGCATCTCTCTAACCTTAGATAGAGGGGTAGAATGAGAACCCCCACTGATTCTCCTCCTGACATTTTTTTCTAAATCCTCCGTACAAAGGGAATATTGTATTCACTTTCTAAACTGCCAAATAGTTAACTAGGGATTTGACAAACTCAACCTGGCCAGTATCAATCTCCCCAAAGACTCTAACTCAATGTCAGTGTTTGGTTAACGTCCATTGCCTTTATTCATTCATTCAACAAATGTTTACCCAGCACCTAGTGTGTCTCCTATGCTGTGTTTGACATCAAGGATCTATAAAAGGGATACATTTTCTGCATGCAGGACATTTTATTTCCTATTAGATAAAATAACTAATAAATGTGATATGACAAATTTCATGATCAAGATAAGCACAAGATATAATGGGAATGTAGAAGAATGAAACTTACTCAAACAGAAAAAGGTCAGGGAAGGACTTTCAGCAGTTTTGAAGGGTGAGGTAGGGTTGGTAGAAGGAGAGGCATGCGTAAAGGAACAAAGCTGTAGGAAAGGTGCTGGTACACTATTATGACTGGAGGAACATTAATAGAATCCCAAGAGAAGATGAAAGTAGAAAAGAAGACAGGAGCCCTGATATGAAATATGAATTTTATCCTGAGGGCAGTGGAAAGCCATTGAAGGATTTAAAAAGGGTATACGTTTGATAAAGATCACTCTGACAAGCAGTG